CTCACAGTCACCAACTAGACTAGACTGTGCCTGCAACTGAGTCACCTGTTTGCCAACAACACTGCGTTCTTCCCCAAAATACCAGTCAATAGCCATCTACTTACTAGCTAACTTCTTAGGGCAGCAGATTTTAGAAATTATCTTTTGAAATGACACTTCTCCCAGTTACAACATCTGCACTATAAAACCAAAGCATCCACAAGGAATACACTGAACTGAAAATGTTCCCTCTCCATTTCCCAAACCAAGACCATGCATGAGAGCCTTTGTGGCTGAAGAGTAAGATATAAATACTCCAAATAAATAAATAAATTCCTTACTGGTGGAGAATCCAGTGCGCTTGTGGCAACGGGTGAACTCTATGTTGAAATAGGCGACCAAGGCATGAATGTAGTCATTCCGTTTCACCTGGAGACAGAAGGGCGATGTGAAAGTGAGGTCCTCCACCTTCACTGTGTAGATATCCACCTCCTGTCAGCAGTGAGCAGGGGGAAAGGAGAATAGATAAGCAATGGCAAGAAATATGATTAAAACAGACACATATTCATCAGCATCTCTTACATAACCAGAAAAACACATTAAAAATATGCCTGGAGAATCCATGAACAGACATCTGCCTCTACTTCCACAAAACCAGCTGCAGTATAGACCCATGTTTGTCATAAAGGGAGTGAGCCCAAGCACACTACCAAAAAAAAGTACCTGCTAATCAGCTTAAGCAGGGAAGCCTATTCACCTGCTGCAGGCAAATTCCAGTCTGCATCCTTCTCCAATGGAGAGAATATATCAGCATCTTCCTCCCTGTTCTACCATTTACTTAAAACCTTATGGGCTGACACCATATTTCCTTTGCATTCTGCACTGTGCTCAGTACAATGCTCAACCATCAAGGAACTGATAAATGTGAGGTGATGAAAGCTAGGCTGTGAACAGAGCTCCCTTCCACTTAACAGACCTTGGAAGTGTTTTGATGTCAAAAACAGCAGCAGCCACAGTTAGCAAATGGTGGAAGTGAACCATTTTCCCAGCCTTCAGGGCCCCTATACAACAAGGGTGGGCAAAGTTCTGCCCATGGGTGGCATGCAATCCCCAAAGCCTTCTGAATTTTTATGGGAGGGAAAAAAGCAAACCTGTGGACAATAGCACCCACAAAGTCTCTATGGCAAAGGTGGAAAACTGTTGGGGATTAGGGGGCCCACACTGGACCCCAGGAAACACCACACCACTCCCACAAAAAAAGTTTGAAATTTATTTTGCCCCCAAATGCCCTCTGGGAGTTGTGAGGGCATTGTTACTATGCTTCTGTCCTTCTTGGGTTGTTTTAGGCCCAGGAGAAGCTTTTCATTTACAACAGAAAGTGACCAACATGTGGGGGAGGGAATGCAAAACCATTCCCTCGCCCAACATCTGCTGGGGAGAAATGTTTTAAACCCTAGGAGCCAAATGTTTTAAACCCTAGGAGCCAAAGAAATAGCTCTAGAGGCCACATGCATCCTGCAGGCTGCACTTCCCTACCCTTGCTCTACCAGATGGGTGGGGGGAAATCTTTGTGCTGTTGCCTCCAATGAAGAATTTCTGGCTACTTCTCAGTTTGAAAAAGTTAGCTTTTTAGTCTCAAAACAAAGTAAAACTGTTCCCCACATCCCTATGGGATGATGGGGTGGGGTGGCCCTCCAAGGTCTGGTAGGCAACTGATGAGCCAGAGATTGGGGAGAACATGTGCTGAGAGATGCTGTTGTCTTCTCTTCCCTCCAGAAGATAGAAAACTGGACTGTAGTGGACACAGAGAATAACTTAGGCAAGCAGAAAGGAAGTATGGTTCCTGCCAGTCATACCTTGATGAGGCAGGCATTGGTGACCAACTGCTTCGGGTCAACGACATCCACCAGCGGCTCTTTGATTGCCACGTCTTTGATGCATGACATGTCGAAACCATAAACGTTTTCCCACCCTGCAGTAGGAGGGATAGATCAGGGATGGAGGAATCAGATCCTGTAAGGCCTTGGCCACCAACCAACCAACCACATTCACTTAAAATGGGCAAAACAGAGAGGAGCAGACCAAATTTGTTCCCCCATAAGACTAAGCTAAACTAGAAGTTTTCAAGCTTTCTACCTTTAGGCAGCCCTTTGGCCCAACCACCTTTCTATCAATAAGTGCACACCTCTCATTGCCAATGTTTCTAGGATATGTTGGAGAGAACAGACCAAGGAGAGGTAACTGATTAAGAGTGGTAGGACAGATCCCAAACCATTCATAGCAACAGCAATTGCATGTACATTTCTATACTACTTATCAGTGCACTCAGCACTCCCTAAGTGGTTTACAATCTGTACATTAAATGCCCCTAACAAGCTGGGTACTCATTTTACTGGCCTACGAAAGAATGGAAGGCTGAGTGGACCTTGGAGCCCTGCCTGGGATCAAACCTACAACCTTGTAGCTACAGTACCAACATTTAACCACTGCACCACCAGGGCTCCCTAGTTCATACCGTATGTCCTCCCAGTGGGCTGGACTTCCAGTGCTTTGTCCAAGGACCCAACTTCACTGCTTCCTTGCTTTCCTATGGGGGTGGGGGGAGGTTAGGTGGGGAGAGCTAATCTAGATCCCTGGCTTCAGCATCATTACCTCTCCTGTTCTCATCTCCCCTCAAGTGGTGGGGTTTTGTAGAGAGGCTTCAGGGTGGTAACAGAGTGACTACTGAAGTTCTGTTGGGCAGAGTGAGGACCCAGTGGGCGAGATGAGGTCAATAGGGCAGGTGCTATCCTCACCAAATGCACATACCGTATTTTTCGGCATATAGGACGCACTTTTTCTTCCCCAAA